TTTCCGAGGCAGTATCACTACGGAAGTAGGATTGCCCAACCTTCCTTCCGAGGAGTGGCTGGTGGGTTTGAACCACCAACCTTCTGGTTAGCAGTCAAGTGCTTTAGTCACTATGCTACCGGAGCTCCTTTCTGGGAGGTAGCAAATGGGAATTAACTGAAAAGGAAGGGAAATCGTTGCTTGGGGTATGAATAGCTGGGGGGTGGATTTCAGGGAGGGCTGCAAAGCTGCTAAGCGTGCGCTTATCCTGTGACTCTTAAGAAATTCATTTGAAACACGAACACATGGGAACAGTAAAGGACTTTTTTTAACCGGTGGCATTCAATAGAGGGAGAAGAAAAAAATACAACTTAATTATTTTCTTTGAAAGGGGCGGCCCCACTGGAGGAAGAGGAACATTGAAGGCAAACAGTACCTCAGTAACATGGGGACACGAAGCACCTACCTGCTGCCCAGCATGGCGACTTTTGTCACTTCCAACAAGCCTGATCTTCAGGTTACCATCAAAGAGGAGAGCTGTCCGGTGCCTTACAACAGCTCCTGGCCCACTTTTGCAGACCTCCCCCTCACTCCCTCTGTGACTGCAGCCCCCAGCAGCAGTCGGCCAGACCGGGAGACTCGGGCCAGCGTCATCAAGAAAACATCAGATATCACCCAGGCCCGGGTCAAGAGCTGTTAAGCCTTTGAACTCTCCCTGGTGGTTGTTCGGATTTTTTGGCTTTGTTTTGTTGTTTGTTTGTATTTTATTTTTCTCTCTGACCTGTTTTAGACAAATCTAAGGGAAAAAGCCTTGACAATAGAACAGTGATTGCTGTGTCCAACTCCAGTACTGGAGCTTCTTTTTAACTCAGGACTCCAGCCCATTGGTAAAAACGTCTCTCTAGAGTCTGCTGGACCCCCCAGAGCTGCTTCCTCAAGTTCAAGGACGTCATAGGACCAACATTCACAATTGGCAGCCAAGGCCAGCATGATGGAGTGGATGCCTCAGAATGGACGAGAAAATGTGAACTAGCTGGAAATTTTTTATTCTTGTGAATATGTACATAGGGCAGTACTAGCAACGATGCAGTCTGCTTCCGCACCTTATCTTAAAGCACTTACAAATAGGCCTTCCTGTGATCTTGCTCTATTTCACAGCACAGACTCCCACTGCCCCACCCTCTGCCCGGCCTCCCTTCCTGTCCCTTTGGGTTCTTTCCCTACTTTTCCTTCTCTCAAAGGCTGTGTTCCACATGCCTGAGGAGGAGGAGAAGAAACTGAACCTCTACACAGATGTCCCATTTTAAAACTGCTTAAAAGAATCTTTCTAATCTGCTATGCTTGAATGCCACGCGGTACAAAGGAAAAAACTATCATGGAAATATTATGCAAATTCCCAGATTTGAAGATGAAAAATTCTCTAATTCTAACTAGAGCAAGCTTTTTTTATTTTTTATACAGGGGAATATTTTATTCAAGGTAAAATTCTAAAGAAAATATAATTGTTTTTTATCTTTTCTACAGCAAATTTATAATTTTAAGATTCCTTTTCTTGTTTATCAGCAGTTGTTATGACATCCTTGTGGCACATTTTTTTTTTTTTTAACTTTGTAAAGGTGAAAAGCTTTTATGAGCTCATGTAGCAATCAAATTATCCTGTGGATTGATAATAAATGAATATGATATATAGTTAAATTTTTAATGGGCATCGTGCCTGGCTTTGTCTGTGTCTACTTTAGAACACAAATGCTTCCTCTTAGGGAGCAGAGTGTTTTCCCTTGAGGACCATGAGAGACCCTGGAGATTTCTGCTGTGAGGACACAGAGGTCTCCCTCTGCTGAGTGCTCACCTGTGCCAGAAGCTATGCTAACATTACAGGGGTTACCTCCTCATTCCTCACATGTGTGCTATACATTAGGAATTTATCTCCATTTCACATGTGAGGAAATGGACTGATAGCATAAAAATCCCTTCACTCAAGGACACACAAACAGGAAAGTCAGGGGCATAAGTTAATCCCAAGTCAGTTGCCATTGACACCACATAAGTCAGAGTAGAATCGTGTTCTATAGGATTTTCAAGGGCTGATTTTTTGCAATTAGATCAGCAGGGCTTTTTTCTGATGCACCTCTGGAGGGGCTTGAATCTCCACCTTTTCTGTGAGCAGCTGAATCCATTGTTTGTGCCACCCAGGGACTCCTGGTATGACTACAGAGGGAGTCTTTCTACCCACCCTGTTTTTTCCTTCACTTTCCCACTGTGAGCACATTCCACCCACCTCTGTGTTTTCCATCCAGGGGCTTACAAGTGTGACTCATGTTTTATATTTATGTTCCCTACTCTGACCATCATGTTATTAGTAAGGCATAGGGCTTTAGACATAATCCAGCTCTCAGAACTTAGGGTATGTCTTTTGGAATGAGAAATTCGAATTCAAAGAGAACTGATTCCATTCCTTACCCCTTGTTCTTCAAGGCAAATGTGTAACTGACCTTGGAAAAGTCACTGCGCTGACCTCACCTGCTTCCATGTTGTCTATAAAATCAGACTAGTAAAGCTGAGCTGCCGACCTACCTCCTCTGGGGAGTTGTTGGAGAGACTGCTAAATTAATATTTGAAAAGGTTCTTTTGATGAAAGGACAAAGGGCTATTTTTATATGTAACTCCATGTATGTGGCTGCAGATATGATAAGAGATCATAAAATTATCCAGCTCTAACCAAAATCAACTGAAGCATTTTCCTGGCTGATGTCTTGTAGCTGTAGTGCCATGTAGTGATGGTTAACTCCTTCTGTGAGGAGCACTTTTGTGTTGATCCCCATGTCCCAGGAAAGCCTCTTGGTTTTCTAGTGAAATGAGGAGTCCTAAGGAGGAAAGAGATGCTCCGTGGCAGCCCTGGCACTGTGCCCTTCAGTCAATATCCACTCCTCTCCCAGTTACTAATTCCATTCTTTGTATATGTTATGTCTAAATCTTCTTGTTTATTCATCTTGTTTTTAAATTAAAAAAAAAAAAAAAAAAAAGGTGAACCCGTGTCTCATGACCTGGCTACCAAAAGGCTAAGGGTAGCTTCTGTTTCCCCTCCCACTTTCTCTCCTACAAACTTGACTTAGCACCCAACTCACACCCTTGCCTCCTTCAGCAAGGCACCAAGTCCTAAACTTACTTCTTTGATTTGTGGTTTAACTAGATTTATAGAACCTTACCAGGTGGAAGAATATTCATAATTTGGAAATCCAAAATTTAAATTTTAACAATAATAATCCAATGTCAGTAAGACATAGAAAACAGAATTGCATTTAAAATATTTCTGACACAGGCTATGTATTATCTCTTAAGTGCTGCTTGCCTGGAGTGTAGGAAAAGAAGCTAGAGTTACACAATACTTAGGGTTGGCATAAGGAAGAAAAAACAAATGAGATGAGGCATCTTGTGGACTTAAGTCTCAGACCCATTGTTGCCACTTAGAGGAAGTATGGGGGACATGTGCATCATCTGGCTGGCATCTGTATGAGTTGATAGGCCTTTATGATGGTTTAAGTGTGTGCATGGGTAAGCTGAAAGTTCAGTGTAACTGCCTTTTGAACAAGACTCCATTATCTGCAGCCAGTGTCTGGGGCACACCCTTCATAAGCACCTTGTGAATCCAGGGACAGGTACTTCCACCTAGCTCTGAGGTTAAAAGAACTCAGCACTGCTGGTGCTGCTGTTCATACAAATGAGGTTTTTTTATTTTGTTTTGTTTTTTCTCCTGTGGCCGCACTAAACAACAGGTGCAGGGTTCTTTGTCTCTGCAACTGAAAATAGTGCCTATAAGGAAGGAAGTGGCTAGGCCTAATAACTGGTTTTAGCAAAAATAAAATGTTAACTCTGTTCAAGAACTTGGGTCATGCTATGGAAGGATCAGATGTGGGGCATTTCAGAGTTCACATAGTCTTGAAAGAGCATTTTAGGGAGGTTTTTGACCAAGTTTCTGAAGTAGCAAAGCAGCATGTGTGCGTCTGTTCCTCTAAGCAGGTTGCCCTGTGGAGGTTTGGTCAGTGTCTCCATGTCTGCTTTATAAACATGTGCAGACAGACACTGCTGGCTCTGTGGAATGCATTGTGCTGGGGTTGTGCAACTGCCACTTGATTAACCCCTTACACACCTGGCTGGAGAAATGCCACCACCACACGCTGTAGCCTGTGCAGTGAAAGTAGTTGATTTTAGTAACACAACTGTTTCTGCAGGTGCAAAAAAAAAAAAAAAAAAAAAAAATTCCAGGATGACAGTATTTTTAAGTTTCGGTTTTGGTTGAGAAGAACTTTTTAAAATTGAAACTCCTAAGCATTATCTGGGTGAATCATTAGAGAAAGAGAATACCCAAGATGCTGCAACCTCCAGAACCCTGGGTCATATATTTGAGAATGCTACTACTCTCCAAATTCTAATGCATCAGTTCAGAGGCATTGACACATGGAATCCACAAGTTATACTTGATCACTTCTGTCTTAAGTTTCAAGATAATGTTAGCAACTAGATGGGGGAAGGTTCCTTGTAGTTCCTTACTGTTAGTGATGAGTACACCTTTATTCACTCCTAGAATTCACTCCTAGATAAATATTCTCAACAAAGTTCTCTCTCTGCTGTCTCCCAACTAGAGTATACACTTGAACTTGTCCTGCCTTACCAATAGGGTCTAGTGCTATGAGTGCTGCAGCACTTTTTTCTCTGGGAAGCACATGTATCATTTTTTCAGTGTAACTATGTAATACAGTGATAGAATTCTTGCCTTTCTTGTGGAAGACCTGGGTTTGATTCCTGGCCAGTGCACCTCATGCACAGCCACCTGTCCATCTGCCAGTGGAGGCATGTGTGTTGCTATGATGCTGAACGGGTTTCAGCAGAGCTTCCAGACAGAAAGAAAGGCCTGGTGATCTACTTCAAGAAACCAGCCAGGAAAAACCCTCTAAATCACAATGGTTTATTTGTGACTGATGATGAAGATGGCACAGAACCAGGTAGAGTTTCATTTCGTTGTGCATGGGGCCACCGTGAGACAGAGCCAAATTGATGGCAGTTAACGATAACCACATGCAGTACAGAAGAGGTTTCATAGACTCAGGCCTAAAATATTCAGGGTATAGGCAAATGGGAATTTTCTTAAACATGTAAAATGCGATTCATAGCCATTGCTCCAATTTGACCTGATGGCTTCAGAGCTCATTTGCATCACAGCTGTGGTGTGAGAAGTAAACTACAGGTTGGTTTGGCAGATCCATGTTTTCAAACTCTTTTAATTGCAAGATTGATTTAAAACTAATGTAATTCTAAATGTCTGTCTTTTGCAAAAGAGCTCTGGTAGTGCAGTGGTTAAAGCATTTGGCTGCTAACCAAAAGGCTGGCAGTTTAAACCGATCAGCTGCTCTGCAGGAGAAAGATGAAGCAGTCTGCTTCCATAAAGATTTACAGCCTTGGAAACCCTCTGTCCCATAGGGTCACTAGAAATTGGAGTCCACTCGATGGCAGTGGACTTGGTTTTGTTTAGTTTTTCCTTTAGCACCTCATGGATTTAATTAGGGTAATCAAACCTTTTGGTTTACCCAGGACTGAGCAGGATGAAGAACTTTCAGTGTTAAAACTGGGAAAGTGTCTGGCAAAATGGGATGAACTGGTCACCCTGATTTTGATACTGACATCAGAGAAAGCATGCCATTCTTTGTTTTTTGAGGATTGTTTAAACCCGGGTGGAAGCTTCATGAGGAGTTATAGAGGCTATGTTGTTGATGAGTCTTACTAATGCATTGATTTCATAGTGTTTTATTTAGATGATTCATTTAATTCAAAACAATATTGGGTTCCCACTATTTGTTGGTACTGTTCACACGGAATTGCCATCAGTCAGAATTGACCCAACAGCAACTGGTTCCATTTTGATCTGGTTCTAAGCTTAGAGTGCTTAGAGTGAAACAAACAAAATCTTTGTTCTAGTACAGCTTAAATTCTAGTTGGGGTGGATATCCAGCCAATAAAAAATATCTCTGGGTGACAAAAAGTGCAATGAAGAAAAATAAAGCAGGATAAAGGAGATGGAGTGACAGATATATTCAAAGCTTTCGTTTTAGAGTTTAAAGGATCGATGGAAATTTTAGCAGTTGGAGGAAGAAACAATTAGAGGGAGAAAAAGGAAAACAGCACGCATCAGCAGGATTCAGGTGCAGGAAACAGAAACCACCACAGCTACTTTAAGCAGAAAAGGATTGGATAGAGAGAAGTAGGTGTTTATAAATAGTAGGGAAGGCTGGAGGACCCAGATTTAGGGCTGCTTCCACCTCCCACAACCATGAAGATCCGAAACCAGGAGGTGCCACTGCAAGCACTAACTGAAAAAATAGTGATTGTAACTGAAATCTGAAGCCAGGAAGTGCTTGTCACCACCACCCTAATGATCTCTCGACACCCATGAAATTAGTAACTGAACATTGAGACACTGCTTCAGAAAGTCCCCATGTTTCCATAATCATGTTTGCCAATGGTGAGAATCAAATCAGGGGAAAGGTAGTTTCTGCCTGGATCCTGACTTTCAAGTCTCATGCAAATGCCTATAATTCACAGTTAGAATCACAGCAGCAAGGGAGTCTGGGAAATATGTTTCTACATTTCCCCTGCAGTAAAAGAAAGAGGTTGGAATGGGGACTGAGAGCCTATTT